TGTGAAAGAATATTAAGCTCCTTTAGTGTCTTTTTTTAAGAATATGAAAGAATCCCAAGCTCTTTAGCGCCCTCTGTTTTAACAATGTAAAAGAATTTCGGAGGCCCTTTGTGTCGTTTTTTAAGAATCTGAATAATTCCGAGCCCTTTTAATGTCTTGTTTTTTAAGGATGTGAAAGAATCCAGGGCGCATTTAGTGCCTTTTTAAGAATATGTAAGAATCCTAAGCTCTTTTAGTGTCTTTTATTTTAAGAATATGAAAGAATCCCGAGCCCTTTTGGTATCTTCTTCTTTAAGAATGTGAAAGAATTTCAGAGGCTCTTTGTGCTTCTTTTTAGAATGTGATAGAATTTCAGAGACCCTTAGTGTCTTTATTTAAGAAAGTGGAAGAATTCCGAGCCCTTTTATTGTCTTTTTTTTTTTAAGAACGCGGAAGAATCCAGAGTCCTTTTAGTACTTTCTTTTTAGAATATGAAACAATCCCAAGCCCTTTTAGAGCTTTCTGTTTTAAGAATGTGAAAGAATCCTGGAAGATCCTAGTGATTTTGTTTAAAGAGTGTGAAAGAATTTCAGAGGCCCTTTGTGTCTTGTCTTAAGAATGTGAAAGAATTCCGAATCCTTTTAGAGTCTTTTTTTTAAGAACATAAAAGAATTCCGAGTCCTTTTAGAGTTTTCTGTTTTAAGAATGTGAAAGAATTTCAGAGGCCCTTTGTTTTTTTTTTAAATTGTGAAATAATCCTGGAAGATCCTAGTGATTTGGTTTAAAGAGTGTGAAAGAATTTCAGAAGCCCTTTGTGTCTTTTCTTAAGAATTTGAAAGAATTCCGAATACTTTTAAAGTCTTTTTTTTTAGAATATGAAAGAATCCCGAGTCCTTTTAGAGTTTTCTGTTTTAAGAATGTGAAAGAATCCAGAACGCTTTTAGTGTTTTTTTAAGAATCTGAAATAATCTTAAGCTCTTTTAGTGTCTTTTTGTAAGAATGTGAAAGCATTCCCAGCCCTTTTGGTGTCTTTTTTTAAGAAAGTGAAAGAATCCAGAGCCCTTTTAGAGCTGTCTGTTTTAAGAATGTGAAAGAATTTCAGAGGCCCTTTGTGTCTTCTTTTAAGAATGTGAAAGAATATTAAGCTCTTTTAGTGTCTTTTTTTAAGAATATGAAAGAATCCCAAGCTCTTTAGCGCCCTCTGTTTTAACAATGTAAAAGAATTTCGGAGGCCCTTTGTGTCGTTTTTTAAGAATCTGAATAATTCCGAGCCCTTTTAATGTCTTGTTTTTTAAGAATGTGAAAGAATCCAGAGCGCATTTAGTGCCTTTTTAAGAATATGTAAGAATCCTAAGCTCTTTTAGTGTCTTTTATTTTAAGAATATGAAAGAATCCCGAACCCTTTTAGTGTCTCTTCTTTTTTAAGAATGTGAAAGAATTTCAGAGGCTGTTTGTGTTTCTTTTAAGAATATGATAGAATTTCAGAGGCCGTTTGTGTCTTTTTTTAAGAAAGTGAAAGAATTCCGAGCCCTTTTGTTGTCTTTTTTTTTAAGAACGTGAAAGAATTCAAAGCGATTTTAATACTTTTTTTAAGAATGTAAAAGAATTCCGAGCCCTTTTAATGTCTTTTTTTAAGAATCTGAAAGAATCTGAAGGTGCTTTTTTTCTCAAGAATCCGAGGGAAGTTCCGAGGCCCTTTGTGTCTTTTTTTAAGAATGTAAAAGATTCCTAAGGTCTTTTAGTGTCTTTTTAAGAATATGAAAGAATCCCGATCCCTTTTAGTGTCTTCTTTTTTAAGAATGTGAAAGAATTTCAGAGGCTGTTTGTGTTTCTTTTAAGAATGTGATAGGATTTCAGAGGCTCTTTGTGTCCTTTTTTAAGAAAGTGAAAGAATTCCGAGCCCTTTTATTGTCTTTTTTTTTAAGAACGTGAAAGAATTCAGAGCGATTTTAATGCTTTTTTGTGAGAATGTAAAAGAATTCCCAGCCCTTTTAATGTCTTTTTTTTAAGAATCTGAAACAATCTGAGGGGTCCCGAGGTGCTTTTTTTCTCAAGAATCCGAAGGAATTTCAGAGGCCCTTTGTGTCTTTCTTTTAAGAATGTAAAAGAATTCTAAGCTCTTTTAGTGTATTTTTTTAAGAATATGAAAGAATCCCGAGCCCTTTTAGTGTATTCTTTTTCAAGAATGTGAAAGAATCTTGGAAGATCCTAGTGACTTTGTTTAAAGAATGTGAAAAATTCTCAGAGGCCTTTTGCGTTTCTTTTTAAGAATGTGAAAGAATTTCAGAGGCACTTCGTGTCTTTTTTTAAGAATGTGAAAGGTTCCAGTGCGCTTTTAGTGCCTTTTTTTAAGAATATGAAAAATTCTTGCAAGACTTTTATGTTTTTTTAAGATTGTGAAAGGATCTCGAGGGCGCTTGAAGTCTTTTTTAAAAATCTGAAAGAATTTCAGAGGTTCTTTGTGTCTTTTTTTAAGAATGTGAAGGGATTTCAAAGGCCCTTTTTGTCATATTTAAAGAATGTGAAAGAATCTCAAAGGCCCTTTGTGTTTCTTTTTAAGAATGTGAAAGAATTTCAGAGGCATTTTATGTCTTTTTTTAAGAATGTGAAAGAATCCAGAGCGCTTTTAGTACCCTTTTTTTTAAGAATGTGAAAGAATCTTGCAAGACTCTTGTGTCTTTTTTTTAAATTGTGAAAGAATCTTGGGCCTCTCCTGTGGCTTTTCAAGAATGTGAGAAGAATTTAGGGGCACTCCAAGTACCTTTTTTTTCAAGAATGCGAAAAAATTTCGGACTTCTTTGTGTCTTTTTCTAAGAATGTAAAAGAGTCTTGGATTCTTTTGGTGTCTTTTTTTAATGTGAAGAATCTCGGGGGTCTCCAAATGTTTTTATTGTCAAGAATGTGAAAGAATCTGAGACCCTTTGTGTCTTTTTTAAGAATATATTAATCTCAGAACCCCTTGTGTTTTTTGTTTAACAATTTGAAAAAATCTCAGGTTCTTCTAATGTCTTGTTTTAAGAATGTGAAAAAATCTCAGGGGTTTCAACTGTTTTTTTTAAGAATGAGAAAAGGATCTCGGGAGCCTGTAGTAGTTTTTTTTTTTTAATTGTTTGGTTGTAATTTACGGGTCAGAGAATTTCGATTTAAATAATTTTAGACCAATATTTGAAATAACGTTATCAATGATTAACTGTCGATGTTGTTTTCGCTGTTGTTGGTGCTCTTATTTTAAATATTCACGACTTTGAAAACTGTTCATCGCCGCCCTTTTCACTCTCTCGCTCAATTTCGTCGTCTGTGTTCCCATCGGAAACGTATTTCAAAAGTCTCGAAGTAAAAAACACCAAATTACTAAATAAGCAACAAGTACAAATACGCTCCGACATCCGGAATCCTGCTTATACCGACCCTCGTAAAATCAACTTCATGTGAAAAGTGATTTTCCCAAAGTTTTCTCTCCGGGAGATCGACGATAGTAACGTCAACGTCAAGCCGATCGTCTGTCGAGAACTTGCTTTAAATTTAAAGCGACTTATCCACGATAAAGTATTAGAATTCCTTTAAATATACCGATGGCTGTCTGAGCCGAAACAAACTTCCGATCGTCTACTTTCTTTATTCCCAATTTTCTTTTTAAACTTCTCCAACTCCAGAATAAACAAAGTTTAATTGCAGTCGCGGCAGCGGCGCTTATAAATCCGGGTTAAAAATCCGCCTTTCCGCCGAAATATTGACAAATGAGAAAATGGAACCTGTTGAGAGCCGGGAAATATTACATGTCGTTTATAACGAAACGTCAAGATAAAAAAGCAACTTTCAGCGCCGCATTAGCCGCTGATTAATTTTTATATGCAAAATACGGCCCTGGCTTGATCTGATTAGGCGTTTTTGCATTATTTATGTGCGGAAATTGCCGGTTATAGTAATTAATGTTATCGGGAATAGGCGAACAACATCGGTGCATAATTCAAATCGTGGTTGCCGGATTGCGATAAGAGAATGCATTTTCGACGACGTTCTTGGGATTTGGAGGGGCAAAATGCATCCGACTCGTGCATATTTGATTTTCGAGTGGTCGGAGCGAGCTCCAACCACGAAAAATGCGCTCGTATTCGATTATTTGTACAAAATTTGACCGAAACACAGTCGACCAATTTGTTTTTGCTCGCCGACTCAATTATTCAAAACGTGGAAAGCTTCATACACTGTATTATTTAAAACCCGGCTCCACATTACAATGAATTTCCACATCTAGTTTTACAACTAAATTACAAATTTTACCGCCGACTCTTGTTAATTAACACAGAACAATCTCGCATTATCAACCTTCCAACAATACCATTTGCCAATTAGCGTCACTTCTTCGCAGAGGCGGCGAAATTCGCCTGTCCCCCAACTTTTTCCATCCTTTGGGCAGATTCGATGGCGCCCTAATCAAATTGCCGGCCGACCAAAAACTTTTTTTAATACTTACACTTAAGATAGTCCATAAAACGGCCATAAAAAAGTATCTCCGGACCGGCGGTTCTCCCTCGAGGGAACGCTCCGCATTCCGAAGATGCCGTGGATTTTTTTGACGTATCGCCGCCATTCGTTACCGCCGGATGAGGTAAACAAACAAATGAAGCGCAAAATTAATTTTTATTCGGAATAATAAACTCTAACTGATATAAATTTCCGCAGGTGCGCCAAGGAGAACAATGAAAACTTTAATTCGGGGGATGATAAAGTGAGTAATTACGAATTGAAAGAGAAAAATGTATTTTTGTGGCTACTCGAATGCGGGGTTTTGTTGTTCGCGGGTGGATTTCGACTTTTAATATTTAATCGGGTCATATTCGCCGCGATTACGATTCTTATGAAAGAGAGGGAAAATTTAATATCGGGGGATGGTTTTTATTGCGGGTTTTTTAATTATCGTACTTGGGGCAATGAGTGCTTTTCGACGTTAATGTCTGCGCTGAGACGCGCTGTTTGAGAGGGATTTACATTTTTTCTGATTCTTATTTCGTTTGTTTTAGGTAATTCGGCGACAAGATGCGTGTCGTTGGGGTCCTGGACGTCGTCGCCCTCCTTTTTCATCTGTCAGGTGAGCGAAAATTTTGGCTTGGTTTGACTCGGACGTGTACGAAATTCGTAAGCTATACGTTTTATATGAGAGAATTCGTGGCGGGGTTAATTTTCCAAAAATTTACCGATTTCTGAACAAGTTGATACACGAATTTTGTACAAATTATTCTGAAGTTCTCGTTATTCATCATTTATTACTGTTAAAATTTGATTTTTATGTCAAAATTTCATAGTGAATCGAATTATTTCTTGAATTTTTTTTACTTCAAAAATTTCGATAATTCAACGGCCGATTATGGAAACTCGGTTAAAGTTGTCAAAGAAACGGGGCCGGAAGTGATTTCTACAGCTCGAAATCTACAAGAAAATGTATTTAGTAAGTCTCGAAAATAGTGAAAAATTGGTCGAAATTTGAACAATGGGGGACCATCTGAAAAATTTCATTTTAAAAATGTTTTAAATGGTACATTTTTGCAAGGAAATATGGATTTTGCACTTATGGGGCGGAGCCTAATTGCAAAATCGATATTTCTTAAACAAATTTACCATTTTAAACAAAAAGATCTAAAGGATCTAAAGGAACAAAAGGATCTAAAGAATCTAAAGTGTTTAAAGTCTCTAAAGATTCAAGCTCCTACCCTTAATATTTCTAAAATTTAAAGATTTACAGGCTCTGAAGAAGAGATCTAAAGGTTCAAAATGACCAAAAGAATCAAAAGGATAAAAAGGATAAAAAGGATAAAAAGGATAAAAAGGATAAAAAGGATAAAAAGGATAAAAAGGATAAAAAGGATAAAAAGGATAAAAAGGATAAAAAGGATAAAAAGGATAAAAAGGATAAAAAGGATAAAAAGGATAAAAAGGATAAAAAGGATAAAAAGGATAAAAAGGATAAAAAGGATAAAAAGGATAAAAAGGATAAAAAGGATAAAAAGGATAAAAAGGATAAAAAGGATAAAAAGGATAAAAAGGATAAAAAGGATAAAAAGGATAAAAAGGATAAAAAGGATAAAAAGGATAAAAAGGATAATAAGGATCAAAAGGATCCAAAGGTTCAGGAGGAGTCAAAGGATCAGAAGGATCTAAAGGTTTAAAATGTTCAAAGGGATCGAAAGGATCGAAGGGATCTAAAGGATCTAAAGAATCTAAAGGATCTGAAGGATCTAAAGGAACTAAAGGATTTAAAAGATCTAAAGGATCTAAAGGATCTAAAATATCTAAAGGATCGAAAGGATCGAAAGGATGGAAAGGACCGAAAGAATCGAAAGGATCGAAAAGATCAAAAGGATCTAAAGAATCTAAAGTATCTAAAGAATCTAAAGTGTTAAAGGTCTCTAAAGACTTCAAGTACTCTAGGTATTCTAAAATTTTAAAGATTTTAAAGGCTCTGAAGAAGAGATCGAAAGGATCGAAAGGATCTAAAGCTTGAAAAGGATCAAAAAGATCCAAAGAATCCGAAGGATCAGGAGGACCTAAAGGTTTAAAATGTTCAAAGGGATCGAAAGGCTCTAAAGGTCTAAAGGATCTAAAGAATCTAAAGGATCTAAAAGTTCAAAATGACCAAAAGGATCAAAAGGATCCAAAGGTTCAGGAGGAACTAAAGGATCTAAAGGATCAAAGGTTGAAAAGGTTCAAAAGTTTCAAAAGGAACCAAAGAGTCCATAGGATCACAAGCATCCAATGGATCTAAAAGATCTAAAGGCTGTAAAGGTTTAAAATGTTCAAAGGGATCGAAAGGATCGAAAGGATCTAAAGGTATAAAGGATCTAAAGGATCCAAAGGTCTAAAGGATCTAAAGAATCAAAAGGATCTCAAGAATCTAAAGGATCTAAAGGATCTCAAGGATCTAAAGGATCTAAAGAATCTAAAGAATCTAAAGAATTTAAAGAATCTAAAGAATCTAAAGAATCTAAAGAATCTAAAGAATCTAAAGAATCTAAAGAATCTAAAGAATCTAAAGAATCTAAAGAATCTAAAGAATCTAAAGAATCTAAAGAATCTAAAGAATCTAAAGAATCTAAAGAATCTAAAGAATCTAAAGAATCTAAAGAATCTAAAGAATCTAAAGAATCTAAAGAATCTAAAGAATCTAAAGAATCTAAAGAATCTAAAGAATCTAAAGAATCTAAAGAATCTAAAGAATCTAAAGAATCTAAAGAATCTAAAGAATCTAAAGAATCTAAAGAATCTAAAGAATCTAAAGAATCTAAAGAATCTAAAGAATCTAAAGAATCTAAAGAATCTAAAGAATCTAAAGAATCTAAAGAATCTAAAGAATCTAAAGAATCTAAAGAATCTAAAGAATCTAAAGAATCTAAAGAATCTAAAGAATCTAAAGAATCTAAAGAATCTAAAGAATCTAAAGAATCTAAAGAATCTAAAGAATCTAAAGAATCTAAAGAATCTAAAGAATCTAAAGAATCTAAAGAATCTAAAGAATCTAAAGAATCTAAAGAATCTAAAGAATCTAAAGAATCTAAAGAATCTAAAGAATCTAAAGAATCCAAGGAATCCGAAGAATCCGAAGAATCCGAAGAATCCGAAGAATTCGAAGGATCCGAAGGATCCTAAGGATCCAAAGAATTGAAAGAATCGAAAGAATCCAAATAATCCAAAGAACTCAAAGAATCCAAAGAATTCAAATAATCTAAAGAATCTAAGAGTCTAAAGAATCTAAAGTGTTTAAAGTCTCTAAAGACCTCAAGTACCTACTCTAAATATTTTAAAATTTAAAGATTTAAAGGCTCTGAAGAAGAGATCGAAAGAATCTAAAAGTTCAAAATGATCAAAAGGATAAGAAAGATAAAAAGGATAAAACGGATAAAAAGTATAAAAAGGATAAAGAGGATAAAGAGGATAAAGAGGATAAAGAGGATAAAGAGGATAAAAAGGATAAAAAGGATAAAAAGGATCAAAAGGATCCAGAGGTTCAGGAGGAACCAGAGGATCAGAAGGATCTAAAGGTTTAAGATGTTTAAAGGGATCAAAAGGATCGAAAAGATCTAAAGGATTTAAAGGAACTAAAGGATTTAAAGGATCTAAAGGATCCAAAGGATCTAAGGGATCGAAAGGATCGAAAAGATCAAAAGAATCAAAAACATCCAAAGGATCCAAAAGATCTAAAGGATCTAAAGAATCTAAAGAATCTAAAGTGTTAAAGGTCTCTAAAGACTTCAAGTACTCTAGATATTCTAAAATTCTAAAGATTTTAAAGGCTCTGAAGGAGAAATCGAAAGGATCGAAAATATCTAAAGCTTGAAAAGGATCAAAAGGATCCAAAGAATCTAAAGGATCAGGAAGATCTAAAGGATCTAAAGGTTTAAAATGTTGAAAGGGATCGAAAGGATCTAAAGGTCTAAACGATCTAAAGAATCTAACGGATGTAAAGGTTCAAAATGACCAAAAGGATCCAAACGTTCAGGAGTAACTAAATGACCTAAAGGTTCTAAGGTTGGAAAGTTTTAAAAGTTTCAAAAGGAAGCAAAGGGTCCACAGGATCAGAAGGATCAGAAGGATCTAACGGATCTAAAGGATCTAAAGGATGTAAAGGTTTAAAATGCTCAAAGGGATCTAAAGGAGCGAAAGGATCTAAAGTCTAAAGGATCTAAAGGATATAAAGAATCTAAAGGAACTAAAGAATCTAAAGGATCTAAAGAATCGAAAGGATCGAAAGGATCGAAAAGATCAAAAGGAACAAAAGAATCAAAAAGATCTAAAGGATCTAAAGAATCTAAAGATTCTAAAGAATCCAAAGAATTTAAAGAATCCAAAGAATCCAAAGAATCCAAAGAATCCAAAGAGTCCAAAGAATCCAAAGAATCCAAAGAATCCAAAGAATACAAAGAATCCAAAGAATCCAAAGAATCCAAAGAATCCAAAGAATCCAAAGAATCCAAATAATCCAAAGAATCCAAAGAACCCAAATAATCCAAAGAATCCAAAGAATCCAAAGAATCCAAAGAATCCAAAGAATCCAAAGAACCCAAAGAATCCAAAGAATCCAAAGAATCTAAAGAATCTAAGAGTCTAAAGTGTTAAAACTCTCTAAGGACTTCAAGTACGAAAGGATCGAAAGAAACTACAACTTCAAAAGGATCCAAAGGATCGGGAGGATCTAAAGGATATAAAGGATCTAAAGGATCTGAGGGTTCAAAAATTTCAAAAGGTTCAAAAGGAACCGAAGGATCCAAAGATCCAAAGGATCCAAAGAATCAAAAGAGTCAAAAGGATCAAAAGAGTCAAAAGGATCAAAAGGATCAGAAGGATCTAAAGGATTTAAAAGTTTAAATGGTTCAAAAGGGTCAATAGGATTTATATGATCGAAAGGATCAAAATGATCAAAGGGATCAAAAGGATCAAAAATGGCAAAAGAATCTAAATGATCGAAACGATCGAAAGGATTTAAAGGATCAAAGGATCAAACGATCCAAGGGATTTAGAGAATCTAAAGGATCTAAAGGATCTAAAAGATCTAAAAGATCTAAAGGATCTAAAGGATCTAAAGGATCTAAAGGATCTAAAGGATCTAAAGGATCTAAAGGATCTAAAGGATCTAAAGGATCTAAAGGATCTAAAGGATTTAAAGAATCTAAAGGAACTAAAGAATCTAAAGGATTTAAAGGATCTAAAGAATCGAAAGTATCGAAAGGATCGGAAAGATCAAAAGGATCAAAAGAATCAAAAGGATCTAAAGAATCTAAAGATTCTAAAGAATACAAAAAATTTAAAGAATCCAAAGGATCCAAAGAATCCAAAGAATCCAAAGAATCCAAAGAATCCAAAGAATCCAAAGAATCCAAAGAATCCAAAGAATCCAAAGAATCCAAAGAATCCAAAGAATCCAAAGAATCCAAAGAATCCAAAGAACCCAAAGAATCCAAAGAATCCAAAGAATCCAAAGAATCCAAAGAATCCAACAAATCCAACGAATCCAAAGAATCCAAAGAATCTAAAGAATCTAAAGAATCTAAGAGTCTAAATAAGTGTTAAAACTCTCTAAGGACTTCAAGTACGAAAGGA